AGGACAAGTTTAATTGTTTTCATTGCCTCTTTGGATGTGTTTCAAGACGTGTCAGCGCTTCGTGGGCAACATCACAGCTTTATTGTTGCTTCAGATCATAAAGAGGCAGCTATAAAAGCCAGGGAAATTCAATTATGCAGATGAGATGCAACAGTAACTATGAAAGCTGGATGTTTGTATCTGCCATGAGTCACCTACTGAGGAATGAAGCTCCCTGAGGATCTGCTCTCATTTTGGAGCTGACATCTCCTCCCTGGTGAACTGGTGGGTGCAAATGAGGGTGAACATCTGGGTGGCACATCCTCGGTACACAACAGGACTTACTATCACAGTAAAGACAGTGGCAACAGCATTTCTGCCACAATATTAAGGAACGAGCTGCTTTATTTATGATCAGCTCACTGCTATTCATGGCCAATAAATCCTTACAAGGTGACCAAAATACTGAGACTGCAAAGACCAAACATCAACTGGCATTTCATTTGTGAGCAACAGAAGATGTGAAACAGCTACTGAAGTTTATCTCCTGCCCTCAGTAATCTCAAAACTACCTGGGGTTTTAAATCTGTGTGTGTGTTCTTAATTCTTACAAAATATCCAGATACAAATATGGGTATGCAAAAGCCTGTTTTCACTTAGGTAAATTGAGTAAAACCTAATAAAGATTAAAAAGGCTTCGCTGTGGCTTCCTACCATCGATGGAACTACTGCTGCAGACTAAAGGTTCAACTCTTCCCTCGTGGTGCAACTCCTGAACCGCAGTGTGGGTGCAAAACCACTCCATGAACAACGCTGGAGCCTCTGCATCACTGCACCACATCTTCCTTCCCAGCAGCTCAAATCCACGGAAAACTTTGTTACAGAGAGAGAACTCACGTTCAAGGAATGACCCAGCACATGAGAAAAACCACCTGGGAGTTCTTACCAGAGAATCCTAAACAGAAGCATTACTTTGAATAGACAGCTACATAAAATACTGCGGGTTAGGAGTGCCCATGGGTAACACTCTCAGCCTCATCCGTGTCACATCATTCCATCCCACCCTCGTGTGGGGCACAGGCACTTCCAGCTCCACTGCAGGAGGCAGAACACTTATCTGGGTGGTGGAACCAAACATTCCAAAATTCTCAGAGCCAAGAAGTCTTTATACGCATTTTTTTTTTATTAAACTATTTCACAAGTTTAAAGCATATAAAAATAGAACACTGTAGTATCAGAAAAACACTATAATATCCCAAGTTGAAATGGTGCGTGCAAGTTTTATTTAAATACTTTCAATTTATTAACTGTGTCCGCAATTAAAAAGCAAAATCCTAAGGCTAAGTCAGAAGTGGCAAATTGGTATAAATTCACTTCAGTGAACTGGGCACAGCCAACTGGAGGATGCAAGAACACTTAATTCCTCCTAGATGTACATGGGTTCATTTTTCCTGCTTTCCACACAAAAGGCAAGTTTCCCACGAGTTCTTAAAAAGTTCACTTATTGGTTATAGAAAATGTGCCATGATGGTTCCATCTAGTTGGTCATTAAGTGCTTGCACCACCACAGACTTGGAACTACAGCTGGAATTTACAGGATGGACGGATGGAGGAGGAAAATCCCTCTGCAGTTGCTTACCTGCATTTACAGCCCCTTCAGCAAGGCTACAGTGTTCAAAAGCAAGGACAACCCCACTTTTATGTCAAATTGTAATTTTAATGTTTTCATTAGAATAGTCTTTATATCACTCTCCAGTAGAAGAAACAATATAGCTAACAGCAAACTTTAATACAGGAACATGCTCCAAGATTAACAACCCAAAATGAAAACAAAATGAAATTAATGTAAAATGCAAATCACATATAGTACAATTGAAGTGTCCAAAACAATTTAAATAATTTTAAATATTTTATTTTTTTTTAAACTTGCTACAAATGCTTTATACAATATTTCAACATAAAGTCCCCATAACAGAAATGTAACAAAATGGGAATGATAGTGAAAGTGAAAGTGGCACAAAGTCACCAAACAAGTATTAAACTACAAATTTTTTTAAGAGGTAGATTACTTTTTAAGTCGAGAACAAAAATATAAGGGGTGGCTGTATAAAGAAACTAAGTCACTTTCCATCCATTCCGTCATTAATCTTGAAAGCTCTGTGAACACGTGACAAACGGCATTGCCATAAAAAGCTGTTAGGAACAACAGACCCATCTGCTGTCTTAAGTTATTAGAGGTGTCACAACCTTTCAGAGGAATTACAGATTGAACTTCCAAAATATGCAGGTCTGCAGCCCTGCTCTGGCCTTCTGATCCATAAAAAGATACACTGCATCCATTAAATATCTGCTCTTTAGAAAGTCACTGTTGCTATATAAAGTTTTATTTGCATGTGTAAATACGAAGTTGGAAAATTCATAAACCATCCAATTCAGGCTTTTTTTTTGTTTGTTTTTTTGTTTTCTTTTTTCCTCCCATTGTATGCTGGACACCTAAAAGAGTCAGGAAGCGAGGAGAAGGTGGGAAGAAAAGGGAATTCTGCCGTGCTGGGTTGGCCTCTACTGATTCATTGAGACAAAAGGCTTTTTAAGAGATTTAATACATGACAAAAATACTTGTGAGTGCAGCAATTGTTGTCCCTGAATCTACACTGAGTTCCGGACACGCTGCAGGAACCTGCTTTGCCGAGCAGCCAAGGAACTCCACGGAGGTTTGCACGAAACCAGGAGCTGAGCAAACAGCAGAGCACAAGCCTTGGTTTAGTTAATCCCACTATTCCTCTGGATGATTTCCTGCGGGGTGTAATTGTTTTTAAGCAGTATTCCTTTCTCTTTAATCTGAATCATCCCGTGCGTGGCAGGCACGAAAGAAGGAAATCTAGGCCTGGCACTGAGCGTTAGGCAAGAAGCCTGAAGGGAATTTTGGGATTGTGAGTCAGTTCCTGCGGGTTTCACAAGCTTGGATTTCCCATCCCTTGGCGTAGTGCTTATCCTAAGAGGAGCAACAGCTCTACCATGGCAGTAAGGGACTTTTGTTTGGTTTGTTTTGTTTGGTTTTTTTACAGGAGGTTCCTAGAAAATAAAAATAAACAAAAAAATAAAAACTGGATATAAATGACAAAACAATTTGTGAACGGAGTATGTTTACACAGAAAAAAAGAAAGGTGGAAAACAAGTATTACATGAAGGAGGTCTTGGAAAAATATTGAGATTTCCTGGGGGAAAAAAACCCCAAAACCCAACAGTGCCTACATAGAGTAGAATCAAAGTTAAACTGTGCTGACATTAGTGTATGAAGGCAAAAAAATTCTTCATATTTGATATAAAAAGTTTAATAGACAATCCAAATTTATGAAAGTTATTTCAGCAACAAAAATAATTTCCTAGTCAAACTACTGACTAATCGGATAAAGACTGTAAAGTAATGGAATTTGAGCCAGCCAAGGAAATCTTACCCCTGGTCAATTGGTATTTCTCCCCCCAATCCTACAGAACAATTCCCATATGCACTGATTTTCAAGTGCTTCGTAATTTTGCCTGAGGTCAAATGATTCATTTGGATGCAAAGATGTGTCATTTTGGCTTCTTACTCTGATCTGTTCTGGCATCATTTAAATGCAGTTTCACACATAACACTGGGAGAAGCAGCTGATGAGAATTAACAGGGAGATGTTTGTGTCCCGAGAGAACAGGCTTGGGAGACATTTCTTGTTCCTAAAAGGCATTTTTTACACCATTAGTCTCCAAGTTCCAATAACATCTTTTTTTCCTTCCACACATCCTAATTTGGGTATGGACTATTTTAAGTCAAATTCCCCTCTAGCCCTTGGGAATAATTCTGCTCTAGGGAACCTTGACTTTGCAAAGCATTTCCTCACCATTTCCACCTCAGAGCCTCCACCGTAAGACACACAAGCTGTGAACAGTTGGGATTTTGACACTCAGCAGATCCTGCTCAGGGAACACTTGTTCTGACACAGGCTGCCAGTTCCTCCCCCTCCTCCACTTAGCCATGACTTCGATAAAAACATCCTCCCCTCAAACCTAAACCTGGTGTTTAATCACGGCCAGCGCTGCAATCACCAAACCCAAATCACCGGTGAGCTTTGGGAAAGTGCCTTGGATAATCAGACACCTGTTTCCAAGGATAACAGGGCAGGAGCAAAGCAACAGAGCTTAGAAACACTGTGTAAAATATACTGTTGATTGGAGAGACTACATGAAGACGTAAGTCGGGACTCAGGCACGTAGATTAAGATTTTATTTATTTATTTATTGAAGTATTACCCTTTCTTGTGATTAAAATGCTTCTTCTCAAAAAAGAAATAGAACTTTAATTATAAAATTTTATAGTGAAACATAAAAGCATGATACTTCTAACAAATTTACACGGTCATGTAAATTTTCTTACACGTCTATTTCCCTTATATTAAGTATTTAATGATCTGATTCAATCCGTATGCACATACATTTCTGAAGTATTTGGTCATGGTTTGTTTCTTTTATATATATACTTGTATATATATGCAGAGAATGCTTTTTATTACAAACCAAAGCAAGTTACTTCAGTGAGTAAAGAATGCAGTCATGATTTTGAGCTCAGTGAATAAATCTAGGATGGTTCTGGGCCACCTCAGATACCAAATACAAGGTCAGTGTCTCCAATAACATTGAGTTTAACAACAAAGTTTATTTGCACTCAGGTATTGACATTTCTATTTTTTTCCCCCAGAGTTTTCAATTCAGTTTATAATTAAAGACATTCTCTATACAAACCGTGTATAAATTTCATGACAACATGACAAAATGCATCAAGTATGTACATCAGACCTCGGCATCGGTGAGCTGCTCAACCACGTTTCAGGAAATGCGACTTTTCTCTTTTCTTTTTTATTCAAGCATGAGAAACTCCAAAAGAAAAAAAAGGAAAAAAAAAATAAAAAAAAAAAAGACCAAGAGAATTGGCAAACCAACAAGCAACGTGTTCCTGGGGTTGTTTCAACTTCAAATGAAATGCTTACCTGAAGTCTTTTAGCTCTTGCTTTGTACTGCTTTCATCTCTTTTGTTTTCTGCTGCCTCTGCGTTCGCTGCCTGCTGCAGGCTCCGTGTGATGGGTCCCCCAATCCTCTCTCTAGACTTTACACTGAACCTGTCTGCCTTTTTCTTACTTGCCACAGCGGATTTACTCGGCAGAACAGCTTTATTATTCCTTTGTATTCTGACGTGCAATTTGCGGGACGCTTTGCTGGGCATTCCGGAGGAGCTGTTCTTAGTGACCACCTTAGTTTTTTTCCCATCCACGTGGGACATTTTAGACACTCTCACAGGGCTAGAGTTCCTCAGGGACGAAGAGGAGTTTGGCTTTTTGGAGCGCATGGAAGGGACAAATTTCACGCTCTGTTTGGACTTGAAGGAGGCCGAGGGGAGCTGGAGCTGGGCCGGCCCCGAGGTCCGTGCTCGGGTCTTGCCCAGGTGGGGCTGAGTGCTCTGCATCTTGATTTCCGCGTCCGCCGTTCGCCTGCGCTGGTTGCCGCCCTTGTCGCTGCTCGCAGGGGAGGAGCTCGCACTCTTTTTGGAAGAATTCTTTTTAGAGGAGGGAGAGATGGGTTTTTTGGGACAGCTGTATGAGGCGTGCTTGTTCAAACTGCCGACGTAGGTGAACTCCCTGCTGCAGTAGGGGCAGATGTGAGGGTCCGACTCGGATGGATTATTTTTCATCTCCGCCTTCTGCTGGGCAGATTTCTTTTTCTGCAGGATAGCTTTCTGGACAAGCTGGTTTTTCTTTTTCAATGCACTTATTTTTAGTTTGTTGGAGGACATTTTGCTAATCTCAACGTTGAAATTGAGTCTTTTAGGCTGACCCATTCGTCTGAAGGCGTTCTTCCCAGGCCCAGCTATAACCACCATGCCATTCTTAGGCTGCACTGTCTGTTTGAGGGGCACTGGATTTTTTTTAGGTGTGTATCTCTTTTTATCACTGGCAGAGGCACAGGCCAGTATGTGTTTGTGTAACTCAGGCATGTTATCCACACTTTTCCCACATTTTGTGCATCGAATGGCAGTAGTAAAAGTCTGAGGAATATTGTGGGTAGTGAAGTTCGTGGCAGTAACTCCGATGCCCATGGGATTGCGGTGGTGATACTGAAAGGGAGGTGGTTTAAAGCTCGGGTAGTGTTGATTGAGGCCCATACGAACATCTGGATCTTTAGATTTCACGCCAGAAGCCATTATTTTTATCGTGGTATAAAGCTCTTCAGAGGAATCATTTAGATCTTCATCTTCCTCCTCTTTAGAAGGTTCCAGGGAATCTTCTGGTAGGCTCTGCATGTGCTCCGCGTTGGCTTTACTGGGATCAGTAAAATTCTGGGGTCTCAAAGTCCCACTTTCAAACTCATGGTGCGTGCACTCTTTGTCTGGATGGAGATCCCGCTGATGCTGCTGCAAATTGCACAAAAAAGCGAATTCCTTTTTACAGACGGAGCAAACAAAGATATTCCCCACTCCGTGGAGCAGAAAGCGATGTTCCGACAAGTCTGTTTTATCCCGGAAAAGCTGGACACAGAATTCACATTTGAAGGGCCATTCTTCAGCATGAACAGACAAATGCTTCGTTAGGTCTTTAATGGAAAGAAAAGGGGATTCGCAGACATTGCACACAAAGCTCTTATTGAAGGTTTCCTGCACCACTCCCGAGTCACTGGAAGTGTGAGGATCTTCTCTTGCTTTCTGCTGCTCGTTTTCAGCTTCTTCCTGTTTTATTATTGGGAGAGAACTTTCAAGATTATCAGCAGAGGAAACAACAGAAGAAACTACTGAAAGAGGAGGCGGAGATGGAGATGATGAAGACGAGGAGGAGGAGAAAGAGGAGGAAGAGGAGGAGGAAGAGGAGGATGAGAGTGTAGGAGGGCCGGGTGAGGCAGCAGAAATAAGAGGTTCAACAGAAGGAACAGGGGATGGAGAAGGAGAAACCGTAGGTGAAAGAACCGGTAGCGGGGACTGGGTAGTAGTGTTGGAGAGCGGTGATGGACAGGAGGAGGTGTTAGTGGCACTGGCAGAGACATCTGGAATGGGTAAGGGCATGGTTGGGAGCAGGGGAGGAGGCGATGTAGCGACTGTTAGCACGGGCGGGCAGGGCGGCGGGGACGGGGGGTTAGTGGGGGTTAACAAGGGGGGCAGCTGGCACACGGGGGGTACAGCGGGTGCCTGTGGCACAGGGGAGGCGGAGGAATTGAGGGGCTGAGCGTCACTGGGAGAGGATGCCGAGAGCCCGGGATCCACGTCGGGCTCTGCCTGAGGCTCCGGGGCTTTGCCGGGGCTGGCACTGCTGTTCACCCCGGCGCGCCGTCCGGGGCCGCCTCCGTCCCGTTGTACTCGTTCAGCAGCACCTTCTGTAGCATGCACGTGGTTGGTTTCTTCTTCTTAACACCACTACACGTTGGCTGAGTGGAATTTTCTTTGCATTCCCGAGCTTCGGCGTCGCTGCAGGGCTTCTTATGCACGCTCAAGTCTAAAACGGACTCCCAGGGGACCTGAGTCTTACTTTTGACGTCAGACCTTTGTTTCACACCGCTGGATAAATCCAGTGGCTGCTGGTTGCACACGTTGCCAAATGTTGGAGCTGCTGTCCAGTCTTTTGATATTTTGTATTCTTCAAAGCAGTGAGGGCTCAGAGTCTCTTTGTCCTCCCTTCCAGTCACGCTCCAAGCAGGTGAGCTGCTGCTGTGGCTTTCTAACTTTGGCATTTTTGAGCTCCGGATATTATCGTTCCACACAGTTTTTCCCTCAGCTGATTTGACAAAGTCTCGAAGCACCGGACTGTGCTGTGGAGAACTGGGAGGAGAGCTGGTCCTTCTTTTAAACCTGCTGGATACTGGAGGCAAAATAGGTGATGATGTAACAGAAGGTCCTAGTTTAGGGATTTCATTTGATGGAGTTATCGTCTTACTGTCCTGGGTCTGAAGAAGCTGCTTTAATTTTGATGACAAATAAACCCCTTTTTCTTTATGAAAAGATAAGCCTTCTGTTGAAATGCTAAGAGGAAGATTTAAAGAACTTGTAGGAGTTATAGGTTCTGGCTCTATTTCAGTTTTTATTTTTGGTACAAGAGGAGGGCTGGCAGTTCTTCTCTTTTTGGATTCGTTGCTCCCACTGCTAGAGGGTTCCTTAGGAGGTTCACTCACATGTGCTTGCGTAACCTTTATATTGGAGGAAATTTCCACCGTGACCGGACTGATGATGCAATTCAACCCATACAGGTCTGCAGAGTTGGACTCCATCTGAATCACATCGCAATTGCTCGTGCTGCTGTTGGACTGGATTTTCCCATCAATGTAATAATTTAAATTCTCAGAGATATTGCTGGAAATATCCATAATATAGACATCATCTACTTCCCCCTCCTCCTCGATCTCAGTGCTGGCTATGTACACACTCTGCACTGCGGGGGCCGGCTCCGTGGGAAGCGGCGGCTCCTCGGTGAAGAATCCTTTTCTCCTCACCCCTTTGGGAATAAGATGCCGCTCGTGAACCCTGCGCTGGTGCCTCCTCATGTTGGTGTGAGTTCCAAACACCTTCTTGCAGTATTTGCACGGGTGCAATTCTTTGGGCTCCTTGTTCTCCTCAGCGAACGTCGAGTTGGAGGTTTCTTGGGAAGCTTTCTCAGAATCCAAGACAACGGAGTCTTGCACGAGGCCGGGAACGTTCGGGTCGTCTTTAAGACCGTCATCCACAATTACCTGGTTATCAGCAACGTTATCCAGGTGTTGTGATGACGTCAGGGTTAGGAAAGGTTTCCGTCTGGGCCCAGCCTCGTGGCGTCGCTCGTGCCTTCGCCGGTTAATCTGGGTGCCGAAGGCCTTCCCGCAGTACCGGCACTTGAAGGCGTGGTTGAGGGTGGATATGTGGATGTGCATGTGGCGCTCGAGCCCTTGCTTTGTTGTGAACTTCCTCTCACAGTGCTGACAGGGAAACATGAACGTTTCCTGAACGTCACCGTTGGATTCACCTCTTGCTTTTGGGATTTTCACCACCAGCTTTTTCTTTGGAGAGTTTTCCGGCGACTCCTCCGACGTGCTCTTTTGTTCTTCCAGAGAGTCCAACTTTTCTTCGCACATCAAAGGCATTTCAGCATTTTCTTTAGGCATATTGGCGTCTTCCATCTCCTCCTCATCTTCCTCTTCTTCATCCTCCTCCTCTTCATCGTCATCTAAATCATCTGACGCACAGTTTATTGCTTCTCCTTGTTTGTCTTCAGTTACCACTTGTGGTTCATTGGTCGGACTGGGGATCATCAACTTTGGAAGCACATCTTGATTTACCATTTCCTGAATCACAGCTGTTTGTTCCAGGGACAGCACAGCAGAAACAGAAGGCGTTTCATCTTCCTCTTTATGACCTGAAACACAAGGAAAGCGTGGGATATTTTTACCAAACTCTCCAGAGTGTGCTGCACCTTGCTTCTCCATCTTCCTAAATCAGAACAGAGGTGCACGTGTTGTGCAAGCAGAAGGGACCACAGAGTGAAGGCATGGAGGAGTTATGGGTTAAAAGAATTAATATGGTGTTTTTTCCCCCTTGACACTGTTAACTAGCAATAAATAATGACTCAGTATTTTAGAATAAAGACTCTGCTCTGCTCTTGTCTCTTCTAAGGAGTTCAGGTTCATGTCCAAATTTTGCAGTACATAAGTTTTTCCTGTGGTCAGATTTGTACTTCTGTGACGTGCTTTTAATACCCCAGCTCCTAACTTATAAAACCATTCAGGCAAACAATATAAACATGTTCACTTGGTTGCACTAACATAACCTGCTAAAGAACTAAACATGACATTTTGATCCAAAATGATATAGAAGCAAAAAAATAAGATACCTAAGAACTCACCCTCTTTAGAATCCTTCATATCTGCAGAAGAAGAATCCAAATCAGTCTTTTTCTGTTTTGTATCTGCTGCCTTCTTTCCCTTGTTTTTACCTTCCTGAGTCTTCTTCTTTCCTGGGGAGGAAAAATCCCAAGACTTATTATTCCCATTCAACAACTCTTAACTTGTCATATTTGAGTTAAAGCCCCAGCTTTGGATGTGACACACTCCTGTAGAGAACCTGCTTTCCTGAGGAATACAAATGACAGATGAGTAGAACAGACAGCACTGAGGCAAAGCAGCCTCAAGAGCCCAGAAGAAATCGTAATCAAAGATAACAATGAGTTTCTAAAAACCTCAGACTCCAAATTACTTTCCTCACTTTCAAAGCAAGAACAAACTAGAGGAGAAATGTCCTGTCCAGGGTTAACCAGCTGACATCATGAAGTTACCCAATACCTTATTATGGCCATTAAATTCATGTATCTCACAGAAATACACAGAAAACAGAAAATTTCTTCATATATTATTACTCCTTAATGTTAATTGGAAGAAACAGAAACCCATCGAAGTCATTGGAGATGTATAAACATTCTGAATAATAAAAGCAACAAAGCAATAACATCTGAGAAGACTCAAAGCACCATGAGCTTGGCCAACAAGGTAAAGGCAGTAAAACCAAATTAGATGGAACTGGGTAACAGCAAAATATGAAGGTATTTTGTTGTGCCCACTGACACGAACAAGTTTGCTAACACTCTGTTAGCAAAATGAAGCAGCCAGTATTAGTGGCAGAGGATAATGAACACAAAAGGGCATTATGCAAAGAGCTGACCAGTGGTGCAAGATGTAAACATGTTGAAAACTTCATTTCCCACTGCACTACAAAGTACTGATGATTTTTTCCACTAATTTTACAGATTTGTCCCTATAATATACGGAAATTATGATTAGGAGAGTGTAATAACAAATAATACTGTCTTGAGGTTGAATTCACTGCTCAGCCCATACTCTCCACACAAAGACATAAAACTCTGTATCTCCTCTGAAATTCCCATTTCTACACACAACTGCTGGGAACGAGACCTTTCCAGAAAGAGCAATCAGAATTCCTCCTGTGCCTCCTCCAACACACAAAATGCTATTTTATAACACACTGCCCCTTCCCTCTGATCCCAAGTGTCCATCACAGCCCTAAACCCATTTCCTATTTAGAAGCACATTCTTCCAAGTCACAATCCTGTCAGCAAGTTCCTCCTTTTTACCCCTCAAATATTTTTCACATCTTGAGCCAAGAAACTGAAATGCCTTTAAAGAAACACGTTCCTCTGTTCAAACAGAGAAGTCCCAAGTACACTCCCCGAGACAGCAGCTCAGAGACAGGAAACACTTGTTTTGATTTGAACATTCTATCTAAATAATTATCTGTATTTCCGCTCAAGGAGCTCAGATTTCACAGGCCACCTTCCAAATTCCAGGGTGTTTCAGTTTTATGTAGGTAATAAACCTTGGTTTATTTTCTTAGTGCAATTTGACAGTTTTTAGTCTCATGAACTGACAACAGTCACTCAGGATGAATTTCTGTCACCTCTGGAACATACACAGGCATCCTCCCTAAGGTGAACTAACAGTTATCCCTGAATATCCTCAAATATTGGAACAATACTCGTGTCTAACCTGCTACAATGAACCAGGATTATATGGACAATGCCATATTTAACTTTGATTTTATATAAAACACCTACAAGTTTCAGAAGATTCAGCACACAGTTGGGTGTTCACACAGGCACAAGGAGTTTAAGTGCATCTTTACCTGACAGGCTAATGAATGTCCCACTTGAACATCATTTTTTATTATCAGCACCTCAAATGTTCATAAATAGAACCATGATCTGAGTATAAAGGATTTCAAATAAGCTTCCACAAATATCTGCCAAGTCACCTGAAATCGCTCTGGGAATGTTCAATAACACAATCAAACAGTCCCACTTCTAGGGAAATGGGTGTAAATGTAACATCACAAAACATTCCTAAGGAATCAAACACGCATCACAACACACCTTCTGAGTGATACAACAAATCCCATTTCATTGCTAGAACCCCAAGAGCTGTCAAATTTTTTGCAGACCACTTATCACCTGAAGACCAACATAAATACCTTGACTTAAATGACAAACTTCTCACTTTGTCTCCACAAGTGAGATAGGAAATAAGGAGGCAAAGATTGGTGCACAGCCCCTCTCATCTGCCAACCCTGGTCACGCTTAGAGACACTATTTTACACGTGGTGCAGCATAAGGTGGTATCACAGATGAAGCCACTGGACAACTCACCTAATTCCACAGCAGCACTGAATCTCAGCATAACAACAGGTTACTGCCCCAAGCCTTCAAACCAAGACCAAATTAATTCTTTCTTTTAACAGCACTGGAAATATCTTTCAAGGGTGAGGTAAAGTGTGTAGAGGGAGCAACAGAAATCCCAAGTGCTAAAGCCTGCACGAGTGTTTCAGAGTGTCATCCATTTATAGAATATACAATTCAGAGTACCCCAAATCCAATTATAATCTGGGAAATCACTACAATAGCAGGATCTGCACCACAAAAACTGAGTTACTTGTGAAGATCATTTTCCTGCCACACTCCTAAAAAGAGATGCAACCTGCTCTGTGACACAGCTGGAGATGGTTCGAGTTCTTCAATCTTTGAAAAGAAGACTCACCAAGCACCAAACGTGCCCTTGCTCTGAACAGTGAGCAGAACTGCTTTGTATGTACAGCATTTCAGATGTGTCACACCAACTCCTGACACACAGCAACCAGAGACACCATCCCATTGCTGGTGTTTTCCTTTAAGGTTTTCAGTTTGTTCTAGGGAGGTGCTTTCTTTCAAGCACAGCAATGACTGTCCCAGATGCATCATTTCCCGGCCCTGAATGTTCAAAAGTAGATGCCCAGGAAGAGAATTTAAGAATAAAGTAAGAGTAAAGTGACAGTTCACTGATATGCTCTCCCAGCTTTGAGTATCTGGAGTTCAGGAACTTCTGAAGAGATTTAGCACCTGTTGAAACTTTCCCCTGTAAGATCTCAAAGTGCTTTTTAACTCATGTAAACCTGAAAGATTTGCATCGTTTCCTTCCTGCAGATCTTCTGCGAAAACCACAACCTACTATTCTGACATAAAGGATATCAGGGAGCAGCCCAACGTCTGTCCCTGAGTTCTGTCACAGTTTCAGAGGTCAGGAAGCAACAGAAACCTTCAGGAGATGAGAAATGCCTCAGAACACAGAACCTGGTGGAAGCCTGAGTATAAGTACACACGTGCACTTACCATCAGGTTCCTGAAGGGTCCTACATGGCTGCTACGGCCAGCTGGATCCTCCACTTGGTCTAAATAAGAAAGATACAGGAATGAAACACAGGGAAAGTGAAATGGAAACAATGACAAAAGAATAAATGAAGGGCAGAACTTAATATATGTGTATGTGCACTAGAGGAATTGTGGAAGAAAGATGTAAAGGAAAATGAACGGAAGAAACAGATGGAAAGTAGGCTCTTGTCTATATAGTGAGGAAGATCAAAAGAGGATTGCACCAACTTGTCTTGCAACTTTAAGTAGGGTTCTTTTTTCTCCCCTTTCCTTCACTCATGTTGTAAGATAGGTCAGCATGAGGATTATCTGCCTTTACACCTTCACAACACCTGTGTAACACTGGCAGTGGAATGAGATCTCCTGTGCCTGTTGCAATGTCCAGATCATCACTACTCCCACTAACCTTGGAGAGTTCAGATGACAACAGAGTTAACAACATAAGAAACAATCTTTAGTTGCCCAAACCTCGTTTTATTGGAAAAACCAAGACACCTCTAAACAACCTACAGTTACCTGTGTTCAGACTTTTCTGTTAAGCCAAGTACTGATGAAACAGTTAAACCACGGAGTTATTTCTGGTGGGATGGGATGAGCACACTCAGATGCCAGGAAAGATGTTAAACACAGTCCTTCCATATCCTTGGAGCTGAACTCTATAATTAAACATTGCCCAATCGCACAAGATGCTATTATCTTTAATAACCTTTAAGTGCAGCACCAAACACGCTCCCAGTTAAGATCATGAAGTAAGAAGGACACACACACCTGAGCTCCAACACTGCTTCCACCTCTTCCAAGGAACACAGGAGGGGACATTTGCCTCTCCAAAAATGTCCCTCCCCAAAGAGTAAGTGATATGAGTTGAAATTCCTGGTGTTTCTTTGAGATCTGTAGCCAACAAATAACTGTACCCAGTCCATACCTGTGCTGTGCCACAGGTACCTGCCCAAATCTCCCATTTCCTGGAAAACAGGGGAGAAGCTCCCTCGGAGACCCTCTGAAAGGTGTTCTTAGAGCACAGATGAGGGGCCACTTTGAGAGGATATGGCTGAAGGGGAGAGATAAACTGCCATGTTATACTCTGACACAGCTTCATGATGAGAATTACAGTGTAATAATATAAATTCACTGCTTAAATCCCTTTGGAACTGGTTCAGATTAAAGTTTGCATCAATCCCATGCAGTAGCTGCTACTATTCTACAAATCAACTATTTCTTTTTTTTTCCTTATATTAAAAAAAAAAAAAAGGCAGTATTTAGGCACTGAAGAGAATGAAATAAAAATCTAAGTGCATAATCAAGATAAAAGAAAACCCTTCAGAAAATTCAGCAGAAAACAACTGCACAATCATTTCCATCCTCTTCTGATTAATGAAGTCTAACGTAATGATGCAACTTGAATTTTAATTTGAGAAACAGCTTGCTGTGCCCCAGAATTCATCTGTTCCTGTATCCAGAATCCTGGTAGGTGTCATGTTTTTTGAAACAGATTCCTTAAGCCTTCAGGCATCGGTAAAAATCTGATGAGCTGTTTGTTCTGCAGACAGGCTCTAACACATGAATGCCTTTCTCACACAGAAAGCTATATCCAAAATAACAGCATAAATTGCTCCAGAAATTAAATCAAAGTTGTGTTGGCTGGAGGAGCATGAAAAAAATGCAGAAACACTTTGCAGTGACTTCTTAGAATCTTGTCCAACTGTGAATGGCACAGCACGTAGATGTTCAAGACCTTTACCTACTTAATAAATGGAATTCACTTA